TCACCAAAGATAGGGGTTAATAGTAGAATTTATTCTATACATTTTAGAAAAACTGAATTTACTTTTTCTCCCGATGGTAGAGTATTTTTAAAAAAGGGAGCTAAACCTACTTTTAGTGACCGAAAGTAAAATGATAATGATTATTTATTAGATCCTCAACCTGGCCCATCAGGAAAGGTACTTTATTATTTATTTACGTGGCACTTACAGAAAATAATTTCTAAATAGTAAAGTATATCTAACCTAACAAAAATAACTTAACGCGCAAAAAAAAATAAAATATTAACAAAAAGAAAAACACTACAACACCACGAGTAAAACTTAGACGTTCAGGAGTTGCAAGTCTCTTTTTAGCGCTAAAATATTAAAATTGAACGCACTTTGTCGTTTTACATTCAAAATTGATGTGTACTGAGTCCGTCAAACAGGAACCAATACTTTGAACTCTTTTAAATAGTGATAGAACCACCTATTACTTTAGCCAGGAGTAGGATTAAAGCCTGCTTTATTCTACATTTGCTTTCTTCTGTGTTCCAGGCTCTGCATGCCACAAAGCAATAATCTTGTTTAACAGCATGTGTTATGGCTATTAATTCGGTGTTTAAAGAACAGGTATTTTACGAATTTATATCACGCCCTTTTAATTCTATTGATATTACCTACAGATGTAAATAGGTTGCCAAATAACAGTAGTATTGTATTATTCACGTACCTATAGTATGTCACTTGATGAAGCCAACCATTCTGAGGGCTTTGCATGTAGTTGTTAAAAGATATTGTGATATTAAAAATAAGGCCTAGATTAATAGCTATCAAGGAACTATCTACCTAGGTAGATGCTGTTAATACTGTAACAGTAGGATTATGGGATCATGTAAAATACATGGTTCTGCACTTACAAACATTCATAGAAAAAGCATTATTTTTAGACCAGGTAAGAAACTTATTTAGGTCAGACTAAGGCGGAGTTATTATCGGTGTCAAACCCGTCGAGAGGGGTGGCAGGGGGCAACATCCACAGGGCTCAGGCTCAAGGGAGGCACAGCAGCTTTAAAAAAAATTGGTTATAATATGTGGGGGCGGGCCCTTTCCAGTGTTTTTCCCCGGGGCCTCACGATGGCTTTCGGAGGCCCTGGCCACTGTTTCTACTAAAAATCTTTAAATCATTCGCGAAATTTTTGTGGTAAAATTAATAAATTTTCAGAGATTTGCGATAGTCACAAACATTCAAAGACAATTTCATAACTATCGGCCATTAATAAAAAAATATTCGCCCCATAATAGTACCTTACGTCACGTTGTATTGATTAGTAGTACAAAAAATAGTAATATCTTCGATCCATTTAAGGTATCTATCGTGTATATTGTAGAAAAATTTGTATTATATTTAAATAAAGACTTAAGAAAGGATATTTTTGTTTATTTTAAATCAACGAATATAAGCCTATACATTTTATAATAATGAAATTACCCAAATTAAAAAATATTTTAATATGACTAATGGTAGGATTCTGAGAAATTTCCTATATACTACAGAATCTGTAAGATATAGTAATGTAATGTAATTTTTTACAGATTTTGGCTTACAGATCTTATATACTGTCTCAGAATCGACACATAAAAATCTCCATAATATTCCTATCATTTTAAAATAAATTTATGATACGTCTATGTGATCTAAACAACCTCCCTCTCATCTACCATATCCTTCGGTTTGCTATAATAGTGTATAAAAGATTATATTTACTTATCAAGAAAGTTGACTTATTCATCTGAGGCTCACACATGTCGCATCCCCAAGTTGCCAGGTCAGTGGGATATAAAGATTAGAAACGCAACGACCCCAGCAACGATAGCGTCATCTATGTGTCTCCGATGTTAACTAAAGGTATACGTCACGTCGTTTGTATATTTTAAATTTCGAGTTTTTGAAATGTTTATATTGTAAGGTGAACCAAGCGAAGTGATTGTGGTTGTTTTTTGCGTGGAATTTGAGGGGCAATAATTACATTTTGTAATATTAAAATAATCAGTCAGGGTACACATTGCATTGGCAACACATGCTACAACCCCAATGTGGCGTTCTTCATTTACCAAAGTAAGTAACACAAACAGTAGCCAATTTTTGTCACAATGTATTTATTTATTTATTAATTTATTAAAACTTATCCAAAAATACTTATATGTGCAGTACCTGTCGAGGTGCCATAGGTGAATTATAACGTTAGTAGTGGCATTTCATCCCTTTATTTATGGTCTCAGAAAGAATAAGGTTTATTTTCAAAAATAAAACACCATTGGGCCACTCAATTGGAAAATAAAAATGTTAAAGTTACAACAATCAAAAATTACAAAATATTTTTCATAAATAGATTTACAATAATAATTATAGATTATAGATTGTAATTGTAGTATTCTTTTTAATAAAATAATTTACCGTAATTAACATTCTTTACATTTATTTACCAGAATATAAAAGTGCAACAGATATTTTTAACCGACTTCAAAAAAGGAGGAGTTTCTGAATTCGTCGTATTATTTTTTTTTATGTACGGCGATAATTCTTTAACACGATGTCCGATTACAATGATTTTTTTTTTGTTAGAAAGGGAGTACTTCAGGGGTGGTTCCATAATAATTTGGTCAAAATTTAATAATTGGGTACATGAGAAAAATCCTCAAACTCTTAATTTTTTATGTATGTTTAGCGATAATTCTTTACCACTTTGTAAGATTTCTATGATTCTTTTTTTGTTACTAAGGGGGTACCTCAGGGGTGGTCCCATATAAATTTGGTTAAGATGGCATCTGCACGATTTTAAAGTCAGTTTTTTTAAATTACTTTGTATACAATCATTATTACATATTTTTAAATTTCCCGACCCGTTATTTATTTGATGTCGATGAAAAGCGCCACACAATGGGTCAGATATTAACTGCGTTCTAGCTAGTCGTTGTTAATCATCTGCTTATCATGAGCGTTTCCTATCTTTATGTCCCTTATATCTGTGCATAATATTTTGGATCATCATCAGTCAGTAAAAAAATGTATTTTACTACCTACCTTACCTAATTTATAATATAAAAATACTTAATATAACAGGAATATTCCTAAAAAAGAATGTCGCAAGAAAAACCATATTATTTATATGCCTTCAAAATAACTATTGTCAAATATTCATAAATCCCAAACAAAAAATCTACACCAATTAATGGTTTTTCACCTTAAATAACAAATACAATTATAAGTGTATTCATTGGAAGCATTTAAAAAGACTAACACTCATTTTGAAACATACAAATTAATGCTTTATGTTTAATTTATTTACCCAATTGGAAATATCACCCTGTTTATTAAGAATGTAATTTTAAAAATTCCCGTTATGGTCAGCAGTTGCTTAGAGATAAGAAAAAACAATTTATAGAAACCGCCACCAGCTAGTTTTTCTTAGAAATTCTTGTTTGATCAGTCAACCATTCATTCTCTGTAGGACTGAGTCCGCAAGAAACCAAATGGCATTCTTTCAGACACTTAGAGTAGCGTCACATTGATTTATGCCCGATTTCATTCACCACAGGGTCAATGCCGGTGTGGAAGAGAATACCAGAAGACCAGAAGACGAAACAGTTGGTTCAAGCATCTTTTCTAAACCATAACAGTTCATTTTTTTCTATTTTATGCGAGCGCGGCTTGTCTTTTACTGTATGAACTAATTTATTTCGTTTTTTTATGTGTTGAGATCGAGCTGTCAGTCATATTGTTGACGGACAGAGACGTTCCGTGGAGATGTTGAATTAAATTACTGCTCGATATATTTATTGATAGACCATTGATACAGAAACGGTATCGTGAATGTTTAACTGCTTTTTTTTATTATTTATATTTCTTTAATAGAACTGTTACATAAATATGCTGTTCACTTTCTTTTCAAATCGAGTTTGGCCATGGAAGTTTGACTCATTTCACTGTGTACATTTTCTCGGTGGATGACAGTTATTATAAAGGGTGTTATTTTAGTGTTTAGTTTTAAAAAGACCTGGTAATACCGTATTGTAACGGTTGTTTATTTTAAAAATAGTTTAGTTATAATTTATTTACACTAAGTACTAATTAATTTATTTATACTTAAGCATTATTTATATTTCACACTTCTAATTTATTTTCTACATTTATTTTAAAACTTAACTCAGTATAACAAAAGATTTTACTTGTGTACAAAAATGTAACAGCCTAGAAAAAATCCAATTCTGACTAGAAGAATCTCGATGCGTTCGTGAAATCCCAGCTGGTTGCTCTCTAACTTTGGCATGGCTAATTTCTGTACATTGGACTACTGTACGTGCTCCCTCAGACAGAGTAATGCTTCCCACAAACCATGATAAGTGAATCAATCTCGGAAGGTGTTCTTTATTAATTTTGGCCAGGACCCACTAATATTTGACTACAGTTGTTCTCAGTAATCTATTTTCTTTGGATTCTGCTCTGTTGCAGTGAGAGCACTCTGTTGGGCACGGTCTTCTAGAAAGAGAATCGGTATTTCTGTGACCTAAAGTCGTTCAATTCATCTGACGATTTGACCCACCGGGTTTTTAAACCACATCGGTAACTTAAGGGCTGCATGAACGGTACGGATTAAGAATTTTATATAGGTAATTGGTAAAAGTGTTCCACACACTTCACAACTGCCAGGAATTCTCTTCTCGTGCCGCAATAATTTCGCTCAGGATTCGAGAGCACTTTGCTAAAATAATCCGGTACTCTCTTTTTCCCTTCCTGAATCTGTAATAGCACTCATCTCATCCCCACGTCAGTAGCCAGAATAAATGTTCAAAGATGAAACATTCCAATGGAGATTGGCCCATTTTAGTGATGCCTTGAATCAATTAAATTTAAAGCTTCAGGGAAAAAACGGAACTATGATTAGTAACTACGATCATATTCATGGCTTTATATCAAGGCTTCAACTTTGGTCCCAAAAAGTAATTTCTGGAAATGTAATATGTTTTCCTCGACTACAGGGAACAATAAAAATCAAAGACTGGACGAAGACGTTAAAACTGATATAGCAGCTCATTTGAAAGCGTTAAAACACGAATTTCAACGATATTATAGCGACATTAATCCAGAAACACCAATATGGCTTATGACTAGAAATCCATTTGTAGTCGATGTCTTACAATTACCAGAAGATATTCAGGAAGAATTTCTAGAAATGAAGGCTGATTCTACCATGAAAGATGACTTCCACCTATTGACATTGGAGAAGTTTTGGATAAAACGTTTCCTACTTAATCCAAAAGTTGCTTCTCATGCTTTGCAAATAATTGTGCCGTTTTCCTCGACTTACTTATGTGAAACAGGTTTTTCAGCATTGGTATAAATCAAAACTAAGCAGCGAAATCGTCTTGCCGTCCATAGCGACTTTACGATTGCCCTGGCAAAAACTACAGCCATCAACCAATTGGTTCAGAACATGCAGGCGCAAATATCGCGTTAACACAATTTTATTATTTAATTTTTAATGAGAAATACGTAATTATTTTTAGGAGTGAACACCAAAGTTTTAATTTATTTGATTGTACTTGTTATTGAGAAATAAATGTAGTGAAACTAATGTGTTTTTTATTATAACAATAAAAAAAATTGTAAGGGGGGCATGAATATATTTTTATAATCTAGGGAGGCCCAATACAAAAAAGGTTGGGAATCCCTGCTCTAAAGATTCATTATTAAATTCAACTTGTTATCTACCTCAGCATTATTTACTTCAAATGTGGGAGAAACAATGCAAACTACTTTATGTTCATGTGTAATTTTTCCGTTTATTGCGCAAATATCTCATTTTCTCAAGTTATTCATGGAAAATCGCATTATCCCCATATACTTGCTTGGCACATCTTAAAATAATAAAATATTTAATAAAGTGGTGATTTTTTAGTATTTTGAAGAGTACATTTTTATGGATTCCTATTTTTTTCAATTTTTATTGCTTTTCTATGTTCCAAATTATTTCATAAAATATAAAAATATTTATATTTTTATTATTTCCAATTAGCAATATTCTGGTAGATTTATTCACGTAAATACTAGACATGTGTATAATAGTTGTAACGGAAAGAGTTTGTATATTTATAAAAGTAGTCATTCATACTCAAAAATGTACTTAAATTACAATTATTTACAATGACATGAAGCAAGTAGGTAATCTTCGACCAAATAAAAATAGTATTACAGTAAATACTTGTGCACTACACTTCTAAATAGTTTTAGATGTTATTTAGTTTTAATTTTTGAGTTAGGCAAATTGTATAAACTTATTTTATACAATAACAAATTTGCTAATTCTCAGGTAATACATAATTACACTTTTATTTCTAATTATAGAAATAATACCAACAGCACAGCTTTAAACGTCGCTCTCTTGCTCAAATTAGAGATTGGCCCTTGTTGCTTTAAGGTACAGATATATCGTCCCAATTTTTAGTGTTATATTTGTGGATATCAGTGTACGCTTATATTTTTTTCTTATACATATGAGGTAAAGGGTAAAAGTAAAATGTTTATTTTTGAAAAACTGTTACTGTTTGACAACCCTAATGACCTAAGATAAATATTTTAACTATAAGGTGTATTGCCCCATATAAACTGTACCCACTATTAAAACAAATTATAAATAAAGTGTTACATATTTTTCTGTCTTAACAGGCTTAACTTTGGCACTTATAAACTGAGTATTTTTAAAAAATGCAGTTATCATATCTTGGTTTAAATCATATTAAAATCATATTAATAATAAAATTAAACCTATTAGCAAAGACAAAAGAAATAAATCGAGAATTGAAAAAAAAAAATTATACAAAACAAAAACAAATGTTAGGTTAGGTGGTCTAGGTGGTGTCAATTTTAAGATGTGCGTTCACTTCGACAATCTATGTGTCGGTTTGTTCGTTGGCTTGGTTCTGTATAACAAAAAAAATTTCGACATAAGCTGATTGGTCTATTCCCGATGACGTACCTACACATGTCAAATTTTAAATTTAAATTGGTTTTATTTTAAAAACTTTTGGATTTTTTAACAAACTGATTATTTAGATTAACTTGTATAGTGACGAATTATTATATATTATATAATTTATAAAATAGCATATCTCACATGTGAACATGGCCCATTAACGAAATTTTTAATCAGACCTGGTATATCGCCTAACGTCCCATACCGGGAATTCTCAGATCTCACATTACAATCCATTACAAGAAAATTAGTATTTCTGTTGCATATAATCAACAAAGTATTTACCCACTCGTTAATGTAAGAGCGGTAAACAAGAAACTGCGGTTACCTGCGAAGAATTTTATTATTATCCTCTCTTGCAAGTTCAATGAATTTTTCCGAAGGAGCTTATCAATAGAACGCGTTTTATTTGTATAATTAAAGTCGTCATTAATCGCATCGGGTACCAGCAACAATGAGACGAACTTATTAAATTTATATCGATAATTGCTTCGCTCTCAAGTTCATCCCGTTCCCATCTCGGGCCTATTATTCTTACTCGGTAGTTCGGATCGATCATTTTATTAATAAGAGTGTTTATTTTGTTTTGCAGGAAGTCGAAGCAGGAAAATTTATCCAACGATTTATTATATTTTTATAACTGTTGTATATTTTAATGGTACGAACGCGCAGAAAGGCGATAAGGGGGGTGTACCAATATTGGCCCACTTAACGTTGGGGACCAAAAAAAATGAAAAAAAAGTTAAAATATTTGTTTAATAATTTGGGGTTAATTTGAATTAACTTTTATTTATTTGATTTTGTCAAATATTTTTAACTTTTGTGTTTACTATGAGTCTGACATGTTTTTGTAATGCAAGGTCACATTGGTCCTTGTTAGGAACAATAGTTCTCACCCTTGCTGCTTTAGAAAGTTGTTCAAAAAAGGTCAATTTTAAAAAATGAATAAAATATGTTAAACACATTTTATAACCTGTCCAATACAAGTTAAATACCAGTAAAAGTATTATGCCTAAAACTATGAAAGGTAATAACTACGAAACTTAATATATGCAGAATATATTGAATTCATAAAAATTTAAAGTAAGATTGTGGCAACAAACAAAATCTAAAATATAATTAACAACTAAGAGAGCAAGTATAAAAAATATTGAAAAAAATGTTCCTCTTTAATCGGAGAACGTCGGACAAATAAAGGTATCCATTTTATCCTTTCTAGTCAGACCCACACATTCTTCATGTACATATCGCATACACATGTAGCACATACGCATATCCATAATACTGTCCTCATTGTATAAATGACAATACCAATTTTCGTGTACCGTCTTAATAAAGTTTTTTTTTTTTCATTTTATTTTAAGAGATTTCCTGTTGCTATTTTCTCTGGATATTTTTTTTTAGCAAAACGATTTTTGTTCATTTGGTGACCTCTATAATTTAGATACTTCTTACAAGGTGTTCTTTTTTTCAGTTCTTTTTCAGGTGTTGGAAGCAGATCTTTGAAGGTGACTTCCAATTCTGCAACATTCTTTTCGTCGTTTACATTTTGGTCGTCTGAAGAAGTTTCATGAATTGACATCTCTTCACTGTTCGAACCACGCCATAAAAAACAATCGGCAGGCCCACTCTCCGCTGATCGCATACAAATATTATACTAAGATTATTTGACCTTGACGACGCCATTCGGGGGTCTTAGTCAGGGTCGGATTAAAGCGTATTTAAAGATTTTGTAATAAAATAAGGTATTGATAGGCAGGATCGTATTAAAACAAAAAAGCTTCACAGATTGCGCCAAATAATTAGCTTGTTTTTATTGATGGTCTTAAAATTTCTATTAATATTTTTAAAGTGAAACATATGAGCAGCCTTAAATATAACTTAGGACCGATTCCACCGTTGTGTTAAACGAAGTTTAAAATTACATTTTTACATTAACAATGTCATTTTAATCTCCGTTTAACACAACGGTGGAATCGACCCTTAATAACATATATTTATGGAAATCGGGGACAAGGAGCGTCAAATGTTATCTCGGAATTAATTAAATCTAAAAAAAATTACAAACGCCGGATTTAGTGATAAATAATTCAAAATTGTGATGAAAAATTATTTCAATTTTTGTTATTAAACATACAAAACTATTATTTGACATTTTTAAATTACCAAAAATATCTTTATTGGCTTTTTTTGTATGCTTTATAATAACAATACATGGAGCTTATATCCAAGTCTTCGTGTGTTAAGGCATATTGTGTACATACATCGCAACGTTGAATTTTAAGACATTTTTTTTATTAAAAATCCGCATATATAATAAAATTTTCTTAAAAAATATTAATATTTTGTGCATGCAATTCATTAATATGCTTGTTTATATTTACATTTTCGACAATATTGCCACCATTACACGCGATTTTGGAAAATGGCTCATCCTTACTAGTCCTACGAATTTCATGTAGCCTTACAAGTAAAGCATCCCCACCTGTTCCGCAGTTTTCAGTTCCAGAATGTAATAAATTTAAACATTGCAATTTTTTGAAAGTCCTTTGAATTTGGACCGATGTAGGGTTTACACAGTTACCATCATGGAGGCAGGATAATTAAGAGTTGCAGATTCCTCACAGAAATTTTGCAGCATGTTTACCTTCAGCGACATATGGAATAGTTTTGTGCAATTAATACTCAGTCGGTAATATAGAAAGATGTAAGGCTATTTTAGCTTGAAAATTGGCGGGCTTTTGAATTTACTTCGACAAAATATAAGAATTTTACATTTTTAATAGCACTACTTAAAACACATGATTTTGATTGTGACTCATTACTAATTTACTACTTATAATTTCTTTAATGGGTACTTAAGATTTTCTTGCTTTTTGTAATGAAAATACTTTAGATTTATCAAGATTATAAAGCTTTGTTATTCGCATATCTAGAATAATTATCAAAATGAATATCAGAATTAAATTTTTGTTAAGCATTTCAATATTTGGGAATACCACAATTACGATTAATATTCATTTTTTTTTTCAGAAAAAAAAATTATTCCATACAAAAAATTCTGCTTGTTGAAGAAAATTACAAGAAAAAGTTTCCTTTTAAAGTTATGAAGGAAAACCGAAAGGAAAACTGTGACTTTTCTTCGTAAAATCAATAAGGTAATACAGATTTTTTCCTTTTGTCAATTTTAAGTTTCTTCATTTATTAAGACCATGTACACCTGACCTAACATATTAATATAGTAAACCTATTTTTTCGTCAAACAGAATTTTTTTGTAATGACTTTTTTCTTAAAATAAAAATAAAGATTTTTCCATTTTGTCAACTCCATACGGGAGATGTTTAAAATATAACATTTTACTTTAAAT